GGCCGGGCGCGCCACGTGCTGCGTCATCGCGCTGCGCGCGCCGACCCCGCCCCCCGCGCCAGGCTACGGGTTCCCGGCGCCTCCCGCCCACTTAGGCGGCGGCCGGAGGCCGTGGTGCCAAACGCTCGTCCGCGCGGTTGTGATTTATTATCGTTTATTTTGAAGCTGAAACATCCCGCGCGCGTGAAGAGGCCTTGTGTCACCGCGGGCCGCTTTGCCTTTCCGGGGCAGCGGCCTCGGTGCGACGGCTGCAGGGACGAGCCCGCGCCGTTAGTTGAAGTAGGTCTCTCACAGTGTTCACACACAACACACACCCCCTTCTGGGTTCAGCAAGAGCGCGGGGCTATTTCAGGTTTGTCCCAGGCAAACTAAATACAAGCAGGGTCCGCTGTTTTAAGAGCGAGGAAAGTCTCCAATTTGTAATCGAAACCAAAGGGTCTGTGCTGAGGCTCTTTGTATTTGCGAGTCATTTTGGTTCCCAAATAGGGGAGGAGTTTGCAGTAATCCATGAACTGCTCTAGTTTGGTCTTGTACTTCTTTCGGATGTATTCAGAGCTGCTGGGGTTATAGGCTGCAAAAAAGTAAGCAACATATTACAGTAAATCATCTCATGTTTCTGTTGTTTAAACTCACTGCCATCATGATATATAAGTACATCCTACATAATTAGTGAGCTATTTCTGCCTTATTCTGACTTTCTAACGAGACGAGAATGGTGGACTGGTCTTAAAAGAAAATTATCACAAAACAACTTGAGACCTAGCATCTCCTACTACCTGTGAACTAATGAGGCTAAAGAACAAAGAAGAAAAACATGCATGTTGGTTTTCAGAGCAACACATTTTGGGAAAACTTTACAAGGGGCCACTGCACAAAGCACCTACCTACCAGAAGGATACATGGTCAGAAGAGAGGTGGCTCAGCTCACATTCCTGAAAGCATGTTCAAAAACTACACGGCTCCTCTTTATTTCTCCTCTAGCAGCTGAGGTTTTTCTATTCAGAAAACTGCTACAATTTATGTAGAGTAAAGGCAACAAACTCATCTGGTGCCCCAGCCCAGATGAGCGGTACAGAGCTGGCTCTGTGGGTCAGATCAGGCCGACAGATAACCCTCCCCCACTGCATGCTAGATGCGGTCTGTTGTGCCTGCTTCAGCTGATCCAGGACCTGAACATGGTGCTTGCCCCAGACCAGTCAAAGCTGGCACCGCACACAGAACAGTCCCCTTCCAGACAGAGCAGGCACTGCAAGCGCTGGGTCCAGCATGATGTGGGGTCCCAGACTGGCCCTGCATGCATAGCATGTGTGCTGAACCAGCTGGGGCAGCTGCTACACGCATTGTGCATCCCAGGCCCTGAATGCAGGGCTGGTTGGTGCATTCTGGGTGCATCTACACATGGAATTAATGGGACTCTGGCTCCATTTCAGCTGCAGTAAACTAATCCTGATGTCACTGTCTACATGTATGTTTAAGCGCAGTAATTTACTGCGGCATAGGATGGTATCTGTCTGACAGGACTAAACACTGGAGTAAATTAATGTACTGTGCACAAATTGCAGTGCACGTGTAGATGGTGATGCTTTACTGTGCATTAAATTAGTCTAATATGCAGTAAAACACGTGTAGACACTGCGTGGCACAACTCAAGACCTAGAGGCAGAACCAGGGGTGAATGATGGGCTCTGTGGGATGTATGTAGCCTGCAGGCTGTAGCTTTGACGCCCCTGATGAAAATTTTAATCTCTGGACCTACTTTATCAGATCCCTAAAAAGCTTAAAAAATTTATCAGGACTTCATCTGCATGACTAGGGAGGATTTGGAAATATGTGGGCGTAGCCATTTTAGGAGAATGGTTCTGTGGATTGGTATATCTGAGAGATGCCACAAGTCCAGTTTAGCACCCAGTTTCTTCTTTGATTGATAATGGTCTGAATGCAATATGGGTAGAAAGATTTCCTGAGATACGGATAACGAAACGTAGCATTAAGAAGCATCTGGGGATTATAAAAAAATATTTAGTTGTCATAGATGATGCAACATTGAAGATTTTACCAACTCTGAAATCTTTCTTTCTGAGGTAATTCACGCAAAAAATGTTAGAAGGCATATTATAGGACTGAAAGATTATAGAGAAAATGTCTGTAAAACTAAAGGTAATTCTGATCCTGGGATGACAGCCAGGAGACTCTCCAAGTGAGTAGGAAGGCATTAAATGGATTTTGAAGCTCATGGGTTCCATCTCATAGCATATTTCCAAGGCCAGACCCTTGACTTTTCATTAGAACACTCTGCATCTTCAAATCTGACATTTGATCTCAGGATATCAGATCTATCTATATCCAAGATGCACAGTTTTTAAGATGCACATTCTTCAAGATAATCAAGAGATGCTTGAGGTAGCTGGATGGCTAGGATCGTGGGATTAATACCTAGTTAAAACAGTTAGGATTATTTGGGATCTAATACAATGTATATAGTGAATAGTGTTATATTAGTTATGTAGTAGATACAAGCATGGAATAACACTTCTGAAAAAAATGGAGCAAATACAAAAAGGTAAGAAAAAAGGGTAAGTGCTAATCAATTTATGAAGCTTGTTAGAGTTAGATGTGCTAGGAAAGGTGGAAAAAGAAAGGAAGCTGATTTTTGAGCCCTCAGGGGGCATCAGTTCTTAAAATACCCAACAAGAATAAGTAAAGGGATAAAAGTAAAGGGACCGAATGCACTAGATAAAAGGAGGTGAGATGTCCTTGAAGAAGATAGACAGGGATTATGAGGCTTGAATCTGCAATCATAGAACCATAAAAAATGTGACTGTGTTTTGAAAAGACAGGGCTCAGCACCAAAGTTCAAGTTGGTTCTGACCAGTTTCTGGAAGATAAGTGCCTTTGAAGTGATGTAACTGGAAACTAGAAGACTAAAAGCAATATGGAGAGGTGCTGAAACTGCTAGACCCAGTGAGTACTGAAGAGCCAGATTCCCCCCTTCACTACTGTAGTTGTAAGTAAGCAAATGCTTATGGTTGTTTACACTTAACAAATACTGATATTAATATGTACATTAATATATTAATATCTATATTGGTGATTTGGATGATGGACTTGAGTGTGCACTCAGCAAATGTGTAGATGATACCGAGTTGGGCAGAATTGCAGAGAGTGATGGAGCAAGGATCCAGAATGACTTGAATAAACAGGAGAAATAGTCTGCAGTCAATCAGATGAAATTCAATAAGGAAAAGTGCAAAGTCCTACATTTGGAATGGAATTGCACGGTCAAATACAGACCAGGGAATGATAAGCTAGGTTGCACTACTGCAAAGAAGGACCTGGAGGTTACAGTGGACCATGAGACCAACAGAAATGATTAGAGGCCTGGGAGGCAAGACCTATGAACAGGGACCTGCTCAAATTGTGATATTCATGGAAACTATGAAAAATGGTGGTTTCCACGATTTTGCATGGAATTGCCAGGAAAAAAAAATACTAAAAATGCTGGCTCCCCAGTGGGGAGGAAGCTGCTGGCACAAAGGGGAGCAGCTAAGATGACAGCCAACCTCTCCACCACTGATTGGCTGAGAGGTTTGCCTTTTGTGCATTGTTAGAGGGAAGGGGCCACATGACGACTAGCCCTCCCCGCCAATCAGCAGTGAGCGGTGGAGCCACATGAAAGGCAGCCCTCAGCCAATCAACGATGGGGCTTGCCATGATATGCCCACAAAAATGGCCAGCGCTGCGATCAGCCCACAAAGTCACCCATCTGCCACATCGATTTTGGTAGATCCCTGTTTATGAGCAAAGGCTGAAAGAACTATGGTTATTTAGTCTGGAAAAGATTGAGAGGGGACTTGATAACAATCTTTAAATGTCTGAAGAAGGGTGATTATAGAGAAGATGGCGATGGGCTTTTCTCTGTGACTATAGGGGTCATGACTAGGAGCAATGGCCTCAGGATTCAGCAGGGGAAATTTAGGTTGGAGATTAGGAGGAACTTTCTGACTATAAGGGCTGTCAAGCAACCAGTTACCTAGCAAAACTATGGAATCCCCATCCTTGGAAGTTTTCAAAAGCAGGTTAGACGGACACTTGGCTGAGATAGTTTAGTTAGGGATGATCCTGTCTTGAGCAGAGGCCTGGACTAGATGTCCTTTGAGGTCCCTTCCAGCCCTACTTTCCTATGATCCTATAAACTTAATATGAGCCAACAGCGTGCTCTTATTACAAAAAACCTAACAGTATACTGAGTTGTAACAACAGGAAACTTGCTTGCAAATCTAGGGAAGTGATTATTCTAATCTGTTCAGCACTAGAGAGGCCTCACCTGGAGTACTGTGTCCAGCTTTGGGCCCCATACTTCAAGAAGGATGTGGACAGACTGGGAAGAATCCACCCAAGAGTGACAAAAAACTATTAGAGGCCTGGGAAGCAAGATTTAGGATGAAAGACTGATATAAGTAAGATTATTTAGTCAGGAGAAGAAAAGACTGAAGTGGGGATTTGATAAGTCTTCAAATACCTGAAGGGCATTTTTAAAGAGAATGGAAATAAACTTTTCTCTGTGGCTGTAGGGGGTAAGGCTATGAACAGTGGCTTCAGGCTGCAGCAGAGGAAATTTAGGTTAGAGATTAGGAAGAACTTTCTCGCTAGGAGGGTCGTGAAGCATTAGCACCAATTACTAGTGAAACTGAAATGTTCATCCCTGGAAATTTTCACAAGCAGGACAGACAGATGCTTAGCTGGGATGGTTTAGTCAGGAATGATCCTGCTTTGAGCAAGGGGCTGGACTAGATGACCTCATGAGGTCCCTTCTAGCCATACTTTCCTATGAGTCTATGATCCTATATAGTAAATAGAACAGTAATACAAGATGATATTTAGTATTGACCTATACCCTTAAAATTATCTGTATAACTGTTGAATGACTTTTGGTTTTAATAAAAAAAAGCATTCATCTGAACTGCTGGTGCAATCTATAGAATTCCAGTGCAGAGTCAAGCTGTTTGTCTTTGCATCAGGAGGCTAAGACCATGTCTACACAAAGAGCACTTTAATGGTATAGGTATGTTAGTACACTAACCTACAAAGCACTCCTAGTATGACACAACAATACTGACATGGCAGGGCATTGCACTGGTATGGTGCTGAACTGCTTTCAAAATCTGTATTGAAGCCACAACTTGGTCAGAAACTAGGATGATATTAAAATCCCCAAAACCCTGCACTCTCTGGGCTGCCTGTATATAATTAAAATTTCTTTAAGGTACTGTTGTGCTCTGACTATCTAGAAGCAATGAAGAAACCAATAATAACCCAACATAATGAACATTTGAGACAAAGTTTGGTCATACCCCCTCTAGGGAGGTTAGAAGTCTTACCTTTGTCAACTTCACAAGAAGTTTTACTCTATTAACCTGTATCTCTTCAGTTTCTTAAAGGTCAAGCTTAAGTGGTCAAGCCTTTTATTAATAATAAAAAGGTCAAGCCTTTTATTAATGATGTTACATAACCATCTACTAGGAAAGCAAGGTGATCTGAGAATGTAGATTAAATAAGAATGACATAGAACTACAAAATCAGTAGCATACTAATTGTACAGTAACCCTTTCTAGTTGAAATCTTCATCAGTAACATCACAAACAAGCAGTCTGGTGAACAAAGCTTTGCTAAGCTAAAGATTGCTAAAGATCTACTTAAATCAGGATAGATATTTGACCTCTGTTCATTCCCAGAAATATATCAGTGCAGCTTTTGCCTCACGTTCATATATAAATTAAGTGGACCAGTACCTGAGACCACAGTATAGAGCTGGCTTAAATAGCTACTAGTGCTGTATGTTAATCTACAGTCTGTTTCATTTATATGTTTTTTCAAAGTATTTGGACCTTGTTGTTATATTTGGCATGAGCATTGCTTAGGTAACCAGGCTGAGATTTTATTAGATCTTTCAGCAGACTTCATTATACTGATTTTGACCAATTTTAAAAATAGTTCTGGTTCCCAAGCTAGCTTAAAGGCAGTTTCACTTTTTTACTTTAAAATATGTTAGTACTGTACGGGTATTTTCCCTAGTGTAGAGACAACTTCAGTGACAGTTGATTCTCATGATATCTTTGTAGATTGCCTATTATTGCATTTACTAATGTAATTCCTCTTCTGTCTTGGTGCACTGTGTATTTGCCAAAGATGTGTTATACTTATATAAGTCATTATATATTGTATTTTTAAAAACATGTTTATGACTTCATAAGACAGAGATCTGAGCTACATTGAAAAGTTTTGCTGACAGCTATATTGGTCTGGGGGCATGAAAACCCAGCTGAAATAACTACACTGGCAAAAACCCTGTGCTGACAGAAGAGGGCTTCTGCTGGCATAGGTAATGCCACTCATGGAGGTGATGTAGCCATACCGGCATAAAAAACTCCTGGTGCCACACACCATTCTGCTAACATAGCAAAACTGGCATAGAGCTAGTGCAGTGTTTCCCAGATACCTGGGGCACATTTGTTTCTGGATTAAAATTGGTGGCCCACTTTACTCTTGCCTCCTAGGCCTGAAGAGTGTGTGTGTGTGTGTGTGTGTGTGTGTGTGTGTGTGTGTGTGTGTGTGTGTGTGTAATATATATACATATACAAACACACCATATTTACCTGAGTCCAAGATGACTTCAAATTTAAGATGACACTCCAATAATTAGATTCTATACATGGAATACAGTAAATTTCATATAATTTTCCATATATAGAATCCAGTTATTGGCGGGTTGTCTTATATTCATCCCCCTTCCTTCTCTGCAGTTGCTGTGGCAGGGAAAGTAGCATTTGGGAGGGTAGATGCCAGGCCCCCATCCTTTGCCCCCTCATGCCTGTGCCTGCCCTCTCACTCATGCCCCCAGCTATTTGCCCCTCCACTGACTGCCACCGCTGGCAACTTGTGCCCCTGCTGCCTGTCCCTCTCAACCCCTGCTTCCCCCGCTGTAGGCAAGGGGCTGGGGCAGGCTGCAGGGTCTCCCCCATGCTTCCCTCTAGCCACACACTGTGGGTCTCCCTCATGCCTGGGGTCAAAGAAGGGTGGGGAAAGGCTGTAGTGTAGCAGCAGTCCCCACAGAAGCAGCTGGGGCAGGTGCAGGGTGCTGGACAGGGGAGGAAACCATTTACCTCCTCACATAGGGGCTCTTGCTGCACACCTCCATCACACTTGTGGCACACCCTTTGGGAATCACTGCTTTAGTGGCAGCAGCACCATACTTTAAGCAATCCAGGAAATCCAGATGGTCAGGGATGGCACTTTTACCTAAAACTGTTCTATAAATCTACTGAATACATTTCTTCAATACTTATTATTATAATAATACATATTTTCACATACCTTTTAAATGGTAAGCCACAAACAGCAGAGCAGTTTTTTTTACACTTAGGAATGGAAACTTTGGCTTGAAGCAGCCTACTTCATTCAGAGCTTTTATCAGAGCAGTTGTTACCCCCTAAAGATATAAAACAAACTTTGGAGAGGACCATTAACCAGCTTGGATACAATATGACTTAAAACATTAATCCTGCCATCACTAAAGTATATCTAGTTAAGCTTTGACATAATGTGGTATCTGAGTATCTACATCAATGGGAGTTTTGTCACTGAGTTGAATGGGAGTACAGTAGTAACTGACTCAACCATAACAAATATGGACACATTAATAAGAAAAATAGTGCATGGTTAGTATTTCTTTCAATAATACTTTTCAGTGGCAAACTGCGTACTAGTAGAAAGATCATACAAGTTTTATATGAATGCATATGCATACACATGCGTATAAACGCACTTGGCCAGATCTAGTGTGCAGTGGCTGCTTCATTTCCATTACCATCATCTGGTCATAACCTTAACTAGCACTGACAGGAATGTATTTGTGTAAGGAATGTAGTTTCTAGTGGCTCAGGGAAAATGTGATTTGTAGTATCACTTAGCTTCCTTGTAGTATCGCTTAGCTTATCACTGTAGCTTGGAAACGGAGGCAAGCTTTTGGAGGCTTTTTGTTTTGTGTTTGTACAATGCCTACAACAATGGGGTGTTGGTCTATTACTGTGACCTAAGGTGCTGTAATAATACAGCTAATACATACCAACAATACCTAAAAAGTCTCTTTATTATGTCTATCTATGGTACAGGGGTGTAGGTTGTACACCCCTGTACCACCCCTCTTTCAATCCAGGAAAAGCACACACCAACTGCTGAAACTTCCTCAGCCTGACAAAAGGTTTTTGAACCCAAAAGCTTGCTTAAAAATTGTTTTCCAACTATTTAAGTCAGTCTAATAAAAGATATCAGTTTCACTCAAAGAACCTTGTCTGCCATCTATCTATGGTGGTATTTTTGTCCTTTGGTGACCGTTAATGGCTGGCATAAAGCATTAGAAGCACGTTAGTAAAAGGTCAAATTTTAAATCACTTTTTTTGCTGCCCCAAGATAAACTAGTGGATAGGAAGATGGATTAGCAGATAGATATTATGGTCATAGTCTTATAATTGGGCTAGATCCTGTTTAATTCACTAAATATCTAAATGGCATCTAGGCATATAAATGACATAACCTGGTCCTATTCCATCTTGCACAAACTCCTGAAAAACTGTTACTTTTGTAACATACCTTTGTGTTTTCCTTACTGTTTCTTGTAACCTAGACATAAGGCTGGAGAGGACCCACCCACTTTTTATGCTGATGGTTTCTCAGGGTTTCAAGCACAGTGCAATAGGATCTCTGACATTTAAATGCCTAAACACCAGTTATATGCCAAATAGGTGGACTAGGATCTTGCCCATTTGTTCTGTTCATTTATAAAGCAAATATCCCTAAATACTACATATGTGGTATTAACAGTTCTGAAATAAATTGCGCAGTCATAAAATAAACTGAGGAGCCTTGGGACAGGATACGTTTTATCATATAGCCCTACAGTTTATTCATACACCTTTGGCTGCCCTACATTCTGCCTATTAATTTCTCTCACAATTAAGATCACAGATACTTGAGTAGCTTCAAATAGCTACCATTTTTAAGCCACCTTTGTTTCCTCCCATAACTATTCCCATGATGTTTACTTAATTAATCTTACCTTTATTAATGAGAGTTTAATATGATAATTAAAATATATAAAAACTATCTGGTATGTTATGAACTATATTATCTTATTTTTTAATTTCACTATAAACGATAGAAGCAGAAACTAGCCTGTTCAAGGTATCCAGTCAAGGGAAGAGCAGTAAGTAGAACCGGCTCCTTTATGGGAGGGAGTTTGTGTGGAAGCTTCAGATTCCAGTATTTTTCTGGTAGCCTAGAAAGACAGAAACTAAATGCTTTCAAGATACAAAGTATATTCAATAATTCAAAGTTAAAATAAAATTAATAACTTTACCTCATAAACTTCTGAAGTTTTTCTTCACTTTCAAAAATATACAGTTTATCTCGATATGCCACAGCATACCCAGTATTGCCAGGTACCAAGGCTTCATATCTAAAAAGACAGAAAAGAACCCAAAAGATGATTCATAGGCAATTTTTGTTACAATAGACAATAAGCCTATATAGATCTCCTCCTCAAAAAGCTATCAAACCATGGGTGCAAGCACTCCCCCACCACTCATCCAGTGCCACACATGCTGGCCTGAGTGCTCACTACCAGACCTGGTGTGAGTCACAACACTTAAGCACCTAGAAGGTGACCATTCTACCTGGAAATCTAAGGCAGTGTATTTTTGGACATTTCTGAACCACGACAATTGTGGAATAGTTAGGTTATTATGTGCATCCATCCATTTTGTGTCCCACCTGTTTGGCTTCAAGAATGGGAGCTAATGGAGCATCAACTACAGCTCATAGTGGTGACCGCTGGCTCCCTTACTTCATCCTGGCCAGCAGAAATATGGAATACCACACCCATAGTAACAGGGAATGGACATTCAGGTCATGGACAGGCACTATATTTGTAGCATTAAATATGCCCTTATAGTGCTACAAAAAATGAGTGTACAGCTGTTCAATTTGTGTACAGCCATACAGCTGTTGTAGCATTACACAGCTGCTGAACATGCTACAAAGCAGTAATGCTTTCAAAGAGGACCCTCTCTGTTTTGTGTCTACCACCAGTACAGTTACAAGTAGCGCTCCCTCACAAGGGAGAGGGAGGAAGAGTGACTGGCTCCTTGATAGCACACCCAGTGGAGAGCTGCCAGGGAGCCCTGGGGCACTTGTATACATGACGTTGTTAACATATACATGTGACAAAAATGTCACTGTGTGTGGCTTAATGGCATCACAATGTACACGTGCAAGACTTTTGGTGGGGTTTAAATGATTTTGCATCATTGCAAACTAGACTACATCCGGATGTAGTTTAGTTTGCAACTTTGCAAATTGCAACAATGCAGCTGTCAGCTCCCCTCCCAGCCATGAGAGAGGTGGGCAGGCTCCACTGAAAAAAAGCATTGGCTCCTTGCCACTTCTGCCTTCAGCAGGCAGAAGCAGCGAGGGGCCTGATCCTTTTTTTTCCCAGCGGAACCTGTTCATGGCTAGGGGGCGAACTGCCAGTGGGCTAAGCGGCCCCTGAGCTTTGGGGGGACCCTGTCCTTCCCTCTGCAGTGGCAGCACCCCCCAAGGCCACCAGGGCAGGTTGCTAGTGGGCCGGATGCTGCACCAGCTTGGAGGCAGCACCCAGCTGGATCCAACTGTTCCCTAAGCCTGCTGGGGCTTCCAGCACCACCGCTGCCTTCCTACCCCCTGGGACCACCCAGGAATTGGCTGGCTTGCTCCTGGGGCAGTGTGGGGAGGTGGCAGAAAGGGGCCTGGATGTAGTGGTGGCCAGAGAATATGGCAGGGATGGTGCCCGGGGCACTGGAAGTCTGGGTGGGCTTGGGGAAGCTCAGGCTCAGTGGGCTTCCAGTGCCCTGAGTACCATCCCCACCACCTTCTCCAGCTGCCAGCACACTCAACCATCCTACTGCTGCCTCCCCATGCTGCCCCAGGAGCAAGCCAGCCCATTCCCAGGTGGTCCCAGGTGGTGGGAAGGTGGCAGGGACAGTTTACCAGGTGCTGGAAGCTCTGGCAGGCTCAGGGAAGAGTTAAATCTGTCTGGGTGTTGTCTCTGAGCTGGGGCAGCACCCGGCCCACTAGCAGCCTCCCTGGGTAGCCCTGGGGGATGCTGCCACCATGGTGGGAAGGACGGAGGCCCCCTGCAGCTCAGGGGCTGCTTGGTTCTCTGGCAGCTCCCCCCCCCGCCCTGGACAGGCTCCCGC